AGCTCAGAGCCTGGAGCCTGCTTCAGATTCTGTGGCTCCCTCTCTCCCTGCCCCTCCCCCACTCATTCTCTTTCTCTCTCAAAAATAAACGTTAAAAAATAATAACAATAAAAAACCTACAAAGCAAAAAGAAAAGGAGAACCCATTGGAAAAATAGGTAAAGAAAATAGACTGGCAGTTCACAGAAAAGGAAGCCAAAATGATCCTCAATATAAGAGATGCTCAATCTCTCTGGCAGTCAGGGAAATGCAAGTTAAAGCCATAATAAGATACACTACACACTCACCAGAATGGCTGGCGTTAAAAGGGCTGACCACCCCATGCCCTGGAAAGGATGTGGAGAAACCAGAACTCCCATACACTCCTGGTGGGACTGTGAAATGATACAACCACTTGGGAAAACCATTTGGCAGGTTTTTTGTGGGGTTTCTTTTTGGTAAGGTTTATTTATTTTTGAGAGAGACAGACAGAGCACAAGTGGGGGAGGGACAGAGAGAGAAGGAGACACAGAATCCGAAGCAGGCTCCAGGCTCTGAGCTGTCAGCACAGAGCCCGACGCGGGGCTCGAACCCACAAACCACAAGATCATGACCTGAGCCGAAGTCGGATGTTTAACCGACTGAGCCACCCAGGTGCCCCCATTTGGCAATTTTTAATGAAGGTAGATACACACATAAGCATATAACCCACCCATTCCACTCCTAGGTATTCAATGAAGAGGAACAAAAACACACGTCCATAAAAAATATTTGTACGCAAATATTCATAGATGCTTTATGCATTAAAAAAATCACCAAAACGTGGAACGAACCCAAATGTCCATCCACAGCTGAATGAACAAATTATAATATATCCATAGACTGAATATCACTGGGCAATAAGAAGAGGCAAACTGTGGACAAATGCAACAATGTAGATGAATCTAAGATAAATTATTCTGAGCAAAAGAAACCTTATGCAAGGGTGTGCACTATATAATGTCATTATAAGAAGTTGTGGAACAGGTGAAACCACTTTGTGTCGATAGAAAGGGGTATGTGATTGCCTGGGGTTGAGGTAGGGTGGGAATTGACTGCCAAGGGAGATGCAGGAAGTCTTAGGGTGATAATGATGTTCTATATTTGACTGTGGTGGTGTTAATGTGGGTATATCCATTTGTCAAAAATCAAGCTGTATTCTTTTTTTTTTTTTTAATTTTTTTTTCAACCTTTATTTATTTTTGGGACAGAGAGAGTCAGAGCATGAACAGGGGAGGGGCAGAGAGAGAGGGAGACACAGAATCGGAAACAGGCTCCAGGCTCTGAGCCATCAGCCCAGAGCCTGACGCGGGGCTCGAACTCCCGGACTGCGAGACCGTGACCTGGCTGAAGTCGGACGCTTAACCGACTGCGCCACCCAGGCGCCCCTCAAGCTGTATTCTTAAAATGAGTGCCATTTATTATTTATAAATTCTACCCCAGTGTAGTTGATTAAATGAAAATTAGCAATGATATCCAATTTCATATCCATCATATTGGCAAAAAATTTAAATCTGCCAGTCAAGTGTTGGTGGGGATATAGGGAAAGGAGCACTCCTCTGTTATTGAGTGTGTTATTCATTTCTATTATTCCGGATTCTATATTGAAGTAAATATTGGTACAACCACTGTGGAGAGCCGGTGAGCAGGATAATTTGACAGTTTCCAGTAGGTCAAAGATGTATGCACTTGTGATCTACAGTTCCATTCCTAAATATATACTGCGACCTAGAGAAACTCTCACATATGTGTGCCAGGGACACAAGCTGACTGCAACATCACTAATGATTGCAAAAAATCAGAAATAATATCTGTGAACAGGAAAATAGACTGGTAACTTTTGGTGTGGTTATTCACAAGAGCAAACTAGGTGGGGATATCTCAACATGAATAGAACTCAAAAATATAATGTTGAGCGACTAAAGTAAGACCTAGAATGATACATATAGTATGATACCATTTATGTACCTTAAAACCACAGAAAACAATACTATGTAATGTTCACAGATATGTAGATGTGTGTAAAAGTATAAAAAGCATAGCTAGTGGCGCCTGGGTGACTCAGTCAGTTGAGTCTGACTTCAGCCCAGGTCATCATGATCTCACAGCATAAGTTCAAGCCTTGCATCCGGCTTTGTGCTGACAGCTCCGAGCCTGGAGCCTGCTTTGGATTCTGTGTCTCCGTCTCTCTCTGCCCCTCCCCCACTTGCTCTCTCTCTCTCTCCCTCCCTCTCTCTCTCCCTCCCTCAAAAATAAATAAACATTAAAAAATTACAAAATAAATAAAAATAAAAAGTGAGCTAGAAGAATAAACATCAGACTCATGACAGTGATTGCCTGGGGGGAATACAGGAGAATGGGATAGAGTGAATAGTGGTGAAAGGGATTTTTGCCTTTATTCATAATATCATACTTCTTTTAGAAAAAGGAAGAATATTCACAAAATTAGATACTCTTTTTTGTGTTTTTAGTATTTCTAATAGTAAATATTCAAAAAAAAAAAAATCTTCCAGGGGCGCCTGGGTGGCTCAGTTGGTTAAGCGTCTGACTCTTGGTTTTGGCTCAGGTCATGGTCTCATGGCTTTGTTAGTTTGAGCCCCACATTAGGCTCTGTGCTAGCCACTGCACAGCCTGCTTGGGATTCTCTCTCTCACCCTCTCTCTCTGCCCCTTCCCGACTTGCTACTGTCTCTGTCTCTCTCAAAATAAATAAATAAGCTTAAAAAAAAAAAAAAAAAAAAAGGAAAGTCTTCCAATAGTCTTTCAAGAAAACCATTGTTGAGAGTGTTGGTGTAAACATTTCTGTATTTTTATGCATGTTCAAATTGATATATATATATATATATGTATATGTATATGGAATGTATATATACTTTTGTGTGTATGTGTGTATAATTTCTTATATTAGTAGGTTCCTACTATACATCCTGTTTTCTGGGACTTGGTGTTTCTCACCCATGGATATCATGGATGTTTCTTCATATAAGTAATATTGATCTAAATTATCCTATAAAAATTAGGTGGTGTTTCACTGTATGAATGTACCATGATTTATTTATTTAACCCATTATCCCTCATGTATATTTAAATTCTTTTGACATTTATTTATTTTGAGAGGCAGAGAGACACAGAGCATGAGCAGGGGAGGGGGAGAGAGAGGGGGAGACACAGAATCAGAAGCAGCCTCCAGGCTCTGAGCCATCAGCACAGAGCCCGATGCGGGGCTTGAACCCACAGACTGGGAGATCATGATCTGAGCCAAAGTCGGACGCTTAACCGACAGAGCCACCCAGGTGCCCCATCCCTCATATATATTTAAATAATAGGTTTTCTTCTTCTTCTTCTTCTTCTTCTTCTTCTTCTTCTTCTTCTTCTTCTTCTTCTTCT